ACTAGAAACGGTCATTATGAGTTTGTTGTGATGCCGTTTGGTTTAAGCAATGCGCCAGCGGTATTCATGGATCTCATGAATCGTGTCTTCCATCCATTTTTGGACCAGTTTGTCATCGTCTTCATTGATGACATTTTGGTCTATTCCAGTAGCCCGGAGCAGCATGAGGAGCACTTGAGAACCGTTTTGGAGACTCTTCGGCGTGAGAAGTTATACGCCAAGTTCTCAAAGTGCGAATTTTGGCTCGATCGAGTGGCTTTTCTAGGCCATATCGTCACATCTAGAGGAATTGAGGTAGACCCAAGCAAGATTGAAGCAGTTCGAAACTGGTCAAAACCAAGAAATGCCACCGAGGTTCGGAGTTTTCTCGGTTTGGCAGGATATTATAGACGTTTCATCGAGGGGTTTTCGAAGATTGCCCTACCCTTGTCCCGTTTGACGAGGAAATCAGTGGAGTTTGAGTGGGATAGTCGTTGTGAGTCGAGCTTCCAGGAGCTCAAAGTGAGGCTTACGACGGCACCCGTGTTGACTATTCCGGACCCCACACAGGGTTTCACTATCTATAGTGATGCTTCGAAGCAGGGTTTAGGCTGTGTTTTGATGCAAGACGGCAGGGTTGTGGCTTATGCTTCCCGTCAGCTAAAGCCGCACGAGATGAACTACCCGACTCACGATCTTGAGTTGGCTGCAGTGGTTCACGCTCTGAAGATTTGGAGGCATTATCTGTATGGAGGCCACTGCGAGATTTACACAGACCACAAGAGCCTTCAGTATATCTTCACGCAGAAGGAGCTCAACATGCGCCAACGGCGATGGTTGGAGCTAGTGAAGGATTATGACTGCACCATTAACTATCATCCTGGCATGGCGAACGTAGTTGCCGATGCTCTCAGCCGGAAGGGAAAGGGTGAACTGACCTGTATGATCACTCAACAGCGTCAGTTGATTCATGAGTTTGCTCAGATGCAGCTAGAAGTGGTCGAATCACCTCCTAAGTTACCAGTTGTGGGAGGTATTCGAGCGATGAGAATGTGGCCCACGCTACGAGATAGGATACGGAGGGACCAAGCCTTCGACGAGTTCGTTCGCTCGATGGGGGCGAAGATTAATGCTGAAGGAGTAGAGGGCTTTTATCGAGGCACAGATGGTGCCTTGGAGTACAAAGGAAGGATCGTTGTGCCGAATGTCGAGGCCCCGAAGAAAGAGATCTTGACGTAGGCGCATAGTGCACCATACTTGGCACACCCCGGTAGCACCAAAATGTATCACGACTTGAAAGGGTCATTTTGGTGGAAGAGAATGAAGCGAGACGTCGCCGAGTTTGTTGAGAAGTGCTTGATTTGCCAGCAGGTGAAAGCGGAGCACAAGGTTCCACCGGGTCTCTTACAGCCTTTAGAGATCCCGCAGTGGAAGTGGGAGAAGTTGACCATGGATTTTGTCACGGGATTACCGGTGTCGGCCAAGCGTCACGACGCGGTATAGGTAGTAGTGGATCGACTGACGAAGTCGACCCACTTTATGCCTGTCAGGATGGACATGTCCATGGAGCAGCTAGCCGAGACGTACCTCCAGGGAATCGTTCGACTTCACGGCGTTCCTGCCTAGATTATATCAGATAGAGATCCTCGATTTACTGGCCATTTTTGGAAGAGCTTAACGAGTCCATGGGGACGAAGTTGAAGTTTAGCTCCGCTTACCATCCGCAAACAGACGGTCAGTCGGAACGAACCATTCAGATGCTTGAGGACATGCTTCGAGCTTGTGTTCTAGAGCGGGGTGGTTCGTGGGAGGAGTTGTTACCCAATGTGGAGTTTGCCTACAATAACAGCTATCACTCGTCGATCAAGATGGCACCATTTGAAGCTTTGTACGGTCGTAAGTGCCGCTCACCCCTTTACTGGGATGAAGTTGGCGAGAAACAGGTTCTCGGTCCTAAATTGATCGAGGACACGGTGCAGAAGGTAGCCGAGATCCGAGCGAAGCTGAGAGA